CCATGATCTGACCAGGAAGAAGTAAAAAGGCCTAGGGAAAAATGTTATTTTTCCTGTTTCAGTCCTGAAAAAATTAGGGTTGGTAGGTAGGGATTATCTATTTTTTGTGTCCCCATGCAGGTTTTACTTTGTATAAACTAGTATTGTATAAGTTTGATCACTTAACATCACCTAAGTTAAAACAACACACACACACACACACACACACACAAAAAAGATAATCCCTGCCTACCGACCCTAATTTTTTCATAACTGAAACAGGAAACACAACATTTTTTTCTTGGGCCTAACGTACGAAGCACGAAGAATACACGACACGAGGGTCTTCGGTGATGGAGAGCTAAATTGTCCGTAGCAGACAGGAGAAGATGCCATTTCTCAGGGTACTTAGCCAAGTCTTCACAGAAATGAACTGCACATTAGAAAGATTTGAGGTCATAAAGTTTGTGATGCGTAACGAAGGAATAGGGAACATAATGTTACACTGCATTGAAGCAATCCTTCACTATCTGTAGTACTTATAATGTTGTTGTTACCTTCGCCAAGAAGGTTATGTTATCAGAGGCATTCGTTTGTGTGTGTGTGTGTGTGTGTGTGTGTGTGTGTGTGTGTGTGTGTGTGTGTGTGTGTGTGTGTATCTGTGTGTGTATATCAGTGTGTGTGTGTGTGTGTATGTGTGTATGTATCAGTGTGTGTGTGTGTGTGTGTCTGTGTGTGTGTGCGTGTGTGTGTGAGAGTGTGTGTGTCTGTGTGTGTATGTATCAGTGTGTGTGTGTGTGTGTGTGTTTGTGAGTGTGTATGTGTGTCTGTGTGTTTGTGTGTGTGTATGTATCAGTGTGTGTGTGTGTGTGTTCGTGTGTGTGTATCAGTGTGTGTGTGTGTGTGTGTGTTTTTGCTGTTGTTTTTTTGTTGTTGTAAAATACAGTTGTAAAATAGTTGTAAAATTTGCACGCTGAATAAATAGTAGAAATCGGCCTATGCTGGCAAACTGGACCCCCTATGGCCGGCCAACTGCCCTGGCCGGCTACAGGCAGATTTCTACTGCAAAAGGGTCTGGTGGAGGCTACTTGGAATGATGAACCTGATTTGGTACCATATACTTTAACCTTATCAGCTTTAAATGCCCTACTTTGGAAAATCTACCATCTGGATCAGTGCCCAACCTGTCTCCACTACATCACTAACGCTTTCCTTCCTCAACAGATTTACTGTAAGTTACGTCTTTGTATTTAAAACAACATTGCATGCCCGTAGCCTG